GGAGGCAGAGGCGGCGACCGGGGGTGGACGGCCGACCGGGAGCACGCGGCCGACGTGCACCGGACCTCCTGCACTTACCGACCGGCGCTTGTCGACGACGTAGTTTGCCCCGGTAACGACGTGCCACCGGTTCCCTTCCGGGAACAAACCCTCTGCGGTAACACGCGCTCTCGCGAGAACCGCGCTTTCCTACGCCGGCGTGTCGCCGACGAGAGCTGTCTTAGTGATGGGATGACTGGGACACAGAAATAAGAGTCTCTGCTCAGTCTGACATGTTTTTAATCGAACTGTCTCTTTAGCGAGACTACTAATCCATTAAAGCCTGAATTATATTACTTTAATATATTTATACCTACTCTCTTCTCTTTCAGAAATAATTTACAATATAATTCGTAATCTGACAAGATCGATAATGAAGATAAAACTTGTTTAAATTCAAAGCCGCAACTTATTTGTCCAAATGAATATTATATCTTCTTTCTGCGAGTGGTACTTCCAAAGTTTAGAAGCACTATTGAAAAACGTCTTCAAATGAAATATCAATTAGAATATCGCTGAAACATTTTTTTAATCAAGTAACTTTTATATTACTTTGAACAGCTGTTGTTTCTATTGTTTTTTTTTCATTTAAACATTTTCAATGCTCCAGACTTTTTTATTTTTTTCTTAAAGCAGAAAAAAGGCATTTTTTAAATGAGAAACTTATTAGTATCGTCCTCGCTAATATTTTTTATACGATAATAAAATTTAATTTAATTTTTCTTTTAATTTAGAATTTTTTAAATTCTTATGTTTTTTCATTCATTGATTTTAATGCATATGAATTCTTCTCCAGTTAAGTAATTAATTCTTGGAGAGAAGATTCATTCTTACTGGGCTTTTAAAAATAGCGGAAGATTATATCGCTAATATTACTTTCTACTTTCTTCCCAAATACTGCCTATTTGTTTCTATGAATCGAAATACTGTTATTGATCGATGTGGATGAACTTTCTATATTTCAATTAAAACTATTTTACTATCATCATTGGCTTTCTAGCTGACCACCCAGGAACATCAGAATTTTTCCACATCTCCAAGTTTTGGAAACTTTTGAATTTATCGATAAAGTTTTCCGTTCGAATAATTTTGTTATAAATTGTCTGCAGTTTTTGAAAAAGTGGAAAAAATGAAAACTAAAATAAAATCACGGTCTCGACATTTCTCTCAATTCTCTCAAACTGTCATTTTTATGAATATTGTTTCTTTCTCTTTCTTTCTCTCTATGAATTTCTGTGGAATTATATTTTGACGTGCGAATGTTCTCGCAAATAATCGATAGACGCAGCGGCCGCTTGTCAATGGAGGCTATTCAACAACGCATGATTATATCATTACCAAATTATAATAATTATAGGAACGTGTGCCCTGGTCATTTTGGAATTACACGGCGACCTCGTTATTAATGAGAAATTTACATTTTCGTTGTAATTATGCCTTTTACGCCTGGAGCGTAGCAACGTTGTATGGCATTTGCATAAAATCTGTTTTATTCCACGAAAATATGAGACTGTCTTAATTAATTAACTATTTATCATTATTATTATTCTAATGACGAAGAAACTTTATGGCGCAGTATACAAATGCGTGTGAACCATTCTGTTTTCTGTTATCCGCATCCGACATTAACGTAGTGTAATTTGCAACTTTATGTACACAGAGTATTTTCAATCCAAGTTTCTCTGTTTAGTCGATTATACAAGTTTTATATATCCTGATTGAATAATAGTACAGATTTCGATGAAAGAATACTTGTTTTATTGTTATTTATTAAACTATTTCTTTCATTATCGTGATTAACACTTTTTTAGAAATTAAATAATTGAAATCAATTAAAATATTTATATCTTCCAAAAATTAATAAAATTATCTTTTAATGAAATTTTTGTATATGAC